TAGCTGACGTTTCCATTGAATTTCCCATCAGTCCACCCTTGATGAGAACAACTTTTGGGAAAGCAAGGCAATGTGAAATTCAGTGAAAACGTAAACTTAAGATTGTGGGAAAATTCTTCTTCTACCAGTTCTTCATCACCTTAAACGAAATTGGGTGACACATCTCATATCACTGATTTACTGCTAGCCACGAAAACAATACTTAGTTCAAAAAATATTGTGGAATAGGCATTACCAGTCTTCGATTAAGCCTCTTATGAGCCCAATAAGTGGATCTTCAGAAAAAACTGTCGAGTTCACCAGTCCAGGTCCCATCTCCATGCGAGCCATTCAATTGAAATTGGTTGCATGAATTGGAAATTGAAGGTATAGCTATCAAAAGGATGTGGTCTATATTTTGTTCGCAATCTCCTTTCACTGTGGAGAAGTAGTCTGACCTAATTTTCTAAACTTTGTCATATTGCACAACGACCAAAATAAAAACACCTTTTCTCTGCCCTGATAGTTATGATAATTGCCAATTTGAAAAAAGTGTAGGAGATTTCAGCCCTGATAACTCCAAAGGATTTATGTTAAGGTGTATGGTTGGGGTTAGTATTGGGTTTTTAATTTGGAGCGATGTTTGGTATTATGGTTAGTTTTAATATTATTCATTGGATTATCCTCAGACTAGGCTTATTTCTATCGTAATGCTTAATGTTCGAGTTTGAGTTATGTTTAGGCTGATATTTGACACTACGATTATTGCCGAATTTAGAGCTTATTATTAGGGTATGGTTTAGAATTAATGTTGGATTTGAAGTGAGGTTTAAGTATAGTGTTGGGGTAAATATTAGTTTCAGTGATAGAGTTAGACTTAAGGTTAAGTTTGGGCTTTGTTTTCATTTTGGATTTGGCTTTAAAGGATCATTTTAGGTTTCGAGTTAGAATTCGGTTTATTTTGATATTTAAAGTTATAACTGGTTTTAAAATTATTTGAATATATTTGGACCAAGTGGTACCTCGGTGGTACCAAGTCCGCGGTCTGATGTTGAGAATTATGCCAACTGTTGTGGCAAGGAACTTCGGACAGGGTGTGTTCAACTAAGTCATCCTGACAACAGGACCAAGTTGTAAAAACGAGATCAACCCACTTTTACAATTATTGTAATTGTCACGGTTAAATTCATTGTTGGGTTTGGTTAAGTCATTCGTTTGGTTTTAGATTCGGGATAAGAGTTAGATTTGTTTGAATTAGGACTAGGTTTGGGGTTACGATTGGGTTTTGTTTTAATGCTGTATTTAGGACTGAGTTGAAGTTTAATTTTGTGATTAGAGCTTAGTTTATGATTTAGTCTTGGCCTTTATTTGGGTTATTTTTATGCTTATGATTTATGTTAGGTTGAATCTTATTATTGGGGTTAGGATTTTCGCTGGCATTGTGTTTAGTTTAAGGTTAATTTAATGCCAAAGTTCTAATTTATTATCCGGGTTTGGTGTATTGTTCAATTTAGTCATAGAATTTGGTTTGGATTACGATTAAGGTTTAGACTTGACGTTAGGATGAGGCTTCTATTTAGAAATGATAAGACTCGATGTCGGCTCTTCTATTCGTGGGTGTGAACGTCGAGTTCAATCACGAATATGTAGCACTACTGCGGGAAATTGAAATCAAGATGGACGCCACGAAAATGTCTACCTCCAAGACTGCTTTGGTATGCTCGTCCCTGCCGATTGTCTTGAGACTGTGCGGACGCCTGCATTTGTGAGCACGACCGGTTGGCCGAGGAAAGAATGGAAAAACCTGTGACGCGGTTGTCGGCGGCTCTTGCAGCCGAGTTGGTGGGCATAAATCATACCCTGCTCTAGCAACGACTGATCTCCGCTCTTATTTATCCGCTGGATTAAAGTCTTCTCTTGCTATGACAGATTCCCCTAGGAACACCTCTCTCTCTCTCTCTCTCTCTCTATACATCTATCTATCTATCTATTTCCCTATCTCTCTCCCCTTTTTCACTTGCTTGTTCCGACCTGCGCCTACCAAAAAGGCTCTTTTGTCTTAGCCCTCTCCTCCCTCTGCCCGATACGCTCCGCTCCGGTCCAGCCTAGTCTTAACACAGTTACACGAAAACACACATTGGCCCACCAGTGCACAGACGAGTTGGGCTTTTGTGCCGACATTACTGCACACACACACACACACACACAATTAGCCCAGAAACTGTGAGCATAATGGGCAACCCGACAAAATACAATCCGACGGTGGTGAAGTCTGCCTTATCCGTGCCCACCATCACAGCCTCATCGCCCCACAGACACCTCCCCCCATTGCACCCCAATTTCTGTACCGACCAGACGTTTCGGCCGCTGATCCCTTTAACCCCTCCAGTCGTCGGCTTCATTCACCCCCTCAGGCCGGTTTTTCCCTCTCCTCTCAGACCCGCTCGGCCAGCCCCCAACTCGACGCATCAGGCCTGAGCTCATCGGCCCAATTCACACAAGCACAACTCAGCTCCAACTCCAAATCCCCACTCACTCTTCAGGCCTGGCGACAGCCCCCTTGTCAGGCCGCTAGTTCATGCAAGTCATGTGAACTGAAAGAAACGCGAAAGGGGCGGCTCTAAGGCTGTGAAAGTACATGTGAAAATCTGCCCACCATCTACAACTTGGCACACACACACACACACGCACACACAAACATACAAGTACTCGTTCGAGAAGGGCAAAAATGCCACCATTGTATGCGGCCCGAACACCTTGCAGTTGGAAATCTCCTCCTCCACTACTGGCCCGAATACCTCCGGTCCGGGAAAGGTGTTAACTCGCCACGGAGATGCTCCCAAGACTTTCACATACATTCACAAGCGTCATTGACACCGGTCCCTGAGCAGTTGTGTCCGCTTCGGTGTCCGGCAGATGTCGGTGGGGCTCAGTAAATAACGCCCAGTGACAGTAGAAAGTTGAGTAGGCCAGGACAAACGAAGCTATATGCACTCGCATGTCTATGTTTGTATGCATGTGTATGCACATGTGCATGTACATGTGTATGTACATGTGTTTATGTGTGCCCTACGGTCGTTGACGGATGGTTTAATGTGGAATGGACGAGAATGGCTAGCGATACGTGCACAAGCGCAAACTAAGCAAATGAGTCGGTTATGGAAAGCTGGAACAATCTTGACTCAGCGTTCGTGAGCATGAACTTGTGGTTGCCACCTGAAGTGGATTGTCCCTGGAAGAGAGTGACAGATCTCTGCAACTCACCGACAGTTGAGAAGGCCTCGGACGAAGCAGCTTCGAGTGACTGGATGTGGAGACGGTGTATTCGGCGTCAGTCTGATTGAACGTCGAGTAGGTTGAGAACAAAATTCAGCCCATAATTATTCCCAAAACCGTTCATGAGCAGGAACGGAAAGTGGAAGTATGCTTACGCATGAAAGAAGTTACATGGTTGATTGTACTCCAAAATATGTATTCATAAAAAGTATGCTGTCGAGAGGATCAGGAAATATTGAAGACAAGTTCTAGTCGTTTAATGAGATGCAGGACTGACGGGTGCATTTGCCACAATCTGGTGAGTAGGCCTCAGCAAGAAAGATGGGACCTCTTTTTTATGGTGCTGCTAGGACTAATGAGCTCCACCAACGGGACTCGAACCATGACGCGGCAGTGCCTAATCTCGATGCGATAAGCATTATGCCAGCCTGCCATGGGTGCAATTGGGTCACTGGGCAGATGTGAAATTCAAAGGAAGCAGATTTGTTAACGTTTCGAGGTTAATCACGAGATTGACCCATTTACTAATGAAAAGTAACTAGCTTACCTTTAATAATAAATGATATAAATAAAGTGCTTGTCCATAGTTTCACCCAATGACTACATGGTACACTTGGAAGTCCGGCTTTTACATGAACCATTTCCAATTCCGAAAATATCCGTCAAATGTATGGATTCTGGAAGGCTTCCTTCGGCTAATAAACAGAGTAGATAGGACAAATAAATTCACACTGGAGATAGAAAAGGGGAGTAATTCACCTTTTTAGGATGTTCTAAATGATAAATAAATAAAAAACTGGGTGGGGATATGGACAGGAAAGCCAAAAATGCGAATTTCCCTCTTAATTTCTTCTCAAATCATGCATATCGTGTTAAATTAGGAGTTTGCGTTTAGTACAATGAAAGTAAGAAAAAAAAGAAGCAATTGGGTCACAGAGCAGATGTGAAAAACAAGGAAAGCAGATTTGTTAACATTTCGAGGTTATACACCGAACCGTCATAGTTCGAGTCCTGCCGGATGTGTTGATGGGACTGATGCAAACCAGATCAAAACTGCGCTCCACCCAAGCCTGGACAAGAATATCATTCGGGATATCCGTCTTGAATAAGAGGAACGAGTTTTGGAAACTAAACCACAACTCTCTCTGGCTGCTGGATAGAATAAGAGAGAAAGGGAAAGAGAGAGAGGGACACGAAGAGCCCCCGCGTGAGAGGAGAAGAACCCAAAATGGCCAGCCAACTCGTGAGTGTTTCAGTCACAAACGCAAACGCATCCACGACGTTAAAACAAGCCAAGGCCCACCGCAACCGAAAAGTTGCGATCCGATCCGCACCGTTTGCTGCATCATCTTCACTCGTCTACACGCATGCAGCACAAGCATAAAGCAACTCGTTAGTGTTGTCAGGGCAACTTAGTTTGACGCAACTTGTCGCAAGTCTTTGCTTGCGTAG